AACCGTCATGTTCGGGGCATGCAATTGGTCCCGTGGCGCCATCAATGATTATGTGATATGAATGATACTTAAATGATGATGTGTTTGAATTGAAAAGTAATCTGTGACCTTAGATGCGTATTCCTTATGATGTTTTCTCTACTTAACTGTTTATCATTGACTAATGTGCTTGTCCCTATTTGCTGACTCTATTCTTGGTTTTAAAGCTAGAGTCTCCTAAGTATATATCTTCCTGCTTCAAAATGATTTTCGTATATCTATGTATATATATACCTATATCGTATTTCAACGCGTTGGAGTGGGTTACCAGCATCGCTCGCTGAACCGGTATATTTGGCTTTCAGGCACAGATGAGTAGATCCCAGATCGCGCTAGAGATCCGAGGCATAGAGTAGCTAGTTTCCCTTTTGGCCTGCGTGCCATGCTTATGTATTGACATTATTTGAGGATTTTACTTAGTTAACCTGTGCACCTGAGTTCTCTAGCTCAGGTGTGGCATAGCACCCCATACTTTTATGTTTGATTTCGAGATTTAATGAGTATTTACCTTTATTATATAAGTTTTAAAAGTTTCAAAATTTCGGGGTGTTACAAGAACGGTAGGGTGTATGTTTGGCGGGAGTAATGGGAAGGATTCTCAAAATCATAATATTGAGAGTTCATCATTTCGATTCTCCTAAAATCACAAGATTGGGAAAAGCAATTTTGCAACCACAAGAAGTTGCTCACAAGTACAAAAAAAAAAAAAAAAAAAAAAAAAAAAAAAAAAAAAAAAAAAAAAAGACTAATCAAAAGCAAACAAATGCAAAAGAAAACTCATCTCAAGGTATAAAGCGTCAAACTTTCTCACTATATTACAAACTTAGCAAAGCTACCGTTTACCACTCCCCGACAACGGCGCCATTTTGACGAACGCTTTTTTGTTACGGTTCTCTTTTATATAGCGTCATCAAAAGTGTAGGTGTGCAAGGGGTCGTGAAGAATGTAAGGTGTAGACGGGAATAAAACGGGAGTGAGACACCCCGAGTGTCGTATTCTAAGGAGTGATAACTTGGAAGTGTTGAGTAAGTGATATGGTAAGGATTTTTGGGCTTATAGATTCTTGGTCGAGGGGTTGCATTAATGAGGTAGAGGTGGATGAAAAAGTGAAACAAGAAGGGCAAAAACAAATGTAAAACAAAAAGAATGGAAGACGGGCTATGATCGTGTGCTAATTGTATTGCGTGGTTGGATACTCCAAAGTTTGGGCTGTAATTGCGTGTTGTGGCAAAGGTAAAGAGGAATGGCTTTCTAGTGCGTAACGTTAACGCGAAACCTCTCGGTATATACGCCTCCCATAGATAAATGCGACACGCTAGTGCTCTTATCTTCTACGGGGCAAATTAACAAACACCTTGCCTACATTCCTTTCTTGGTCCAATCCTTTCGGATCTAGGACGGGAATTGCAAGGGAAGGAGGCCAGGATCATGTGTCAATGTCTTGACAACATAGTCCTTCCTAAACCTAAAAGAGTGTGGTGCACGCACACACAAGAGTCAATAAAAACATTCCTCTTCCAACAAGACAATCAAGCCAACAACATTCAATCATCACAATATCACAAATCAAATCGATGAATGTAGTTGTATATTGATAATAATAACCAGATGATAACACAAAGGATATATACAACAAGGAAGTAAGACTAGAGTCCTAGTCTAACAAACACAAGAATAGAATTCTAGTCTACCATAAATACAAGTCCTAACACTCCCCCTCAAGTGCAAGGTTGATAGCCAACAACATTGAGTTTCTCACGTAGATGCTGATAGCGCTTGCTAGCCAAAGGCTTAATGAATATGTCACAAAGCTGATCCTTCGTAGATATAAAATAAACATGAATGTCACCCTTAGACACTTTGTCACGAACAAAGTGGTAGTCAATCTCGACATGCTTTGTCTGAGCATGAAAAATCGGATTGACACACAGGTAGGTGGCCCCTAAATTGTCACACCATAGCCGAGGCGGAGAAGAGAACGAAATCTGCAACTCGCGCAACAAAGAAACAAGCCAGGTTACCTCAGCAGACACATCCGCAGTAGCTTTGTACTCAGCCTCCGTGGAAGAACAGGCCATAGTACGCTGCTTCTTACACACCCACGAGACCAAGTTACTCCAAAAAAATACTACAAAACCACTCGTGGACTTTTGATCAACGAGGTTACCGGCCCAATCAGAATCAGAATACGCATGAATGGAGGCAGAAGGCGACTTCCAAATAAGTAAGCCAAGATCTGTGGTACCTTTTACGTAACGCAGAACGCGTTTGAGCATAGACCAGTCAGCCGTGGTAGGAGCCTGCATGCGCTGGCAGAGCTAGTTCACCACTAACGAAAGATTAGGCCTGGTGACAGTAAGATACTGAAGAGCCCCAACCAAACTCCGGTACTGAGTAGGATCTGCATATGGAACAGCTGACTCCTCATCCACCTTGACAAGAGAAACCGGCGTGCCCAGAGCGTTACAATCAACCATGCCAGCTCATTTTAGAAGATCACCCATGTACCGCTTCTGAGACAACAAAAGACCACCTTATGAGAGATCGTCTCAATACCAAAGAAAAAGGATGGAGCTCCCATATCCCGAACATTAAAAATAGTGGCCATCCGAGCAAGCAATTTAGTGACCTGAACCTGATCAAAACCAATCACAAGAATATCGTCCACATAAACTAGAACAAACAATTGAACATTAGAACTAGAGTGGATTAACAAGGACACATCAGTTTTCAAGGAAGCAAACCCAGCAGAGACCAAAAAATCATGTAACCGGGTAAACCATGCCCACGGAGCCTGTTTAAGATCATAGAGCGACCGTTGCAGTAATCAGACATGACCCGGCCTATTCTTATCTTCATACCCAGGCGGTTGACGCATATAAACGGTCTCCAACGAATTGCCATTGAGAAACGCATTGTGAATGTCAAGCTGCCGGATTACCCAGTCACGAGACACGGCAAGAGAGAGCAACAAACGGACGGTGGTGGGTTTGACCACCGGACTGAACGTATTAAAAAAATCCTGACCAGCCACTTGGTTAAACCCCTTGGTCACGAGCGTGGCCTTATACCGCTCAACAGAACCATCAGCCTTACGCTTGGTCCAGAAGCCCCACTTACAGCCGACAATATTCATACCGTGAACCTCCGGAACTAGCCGCTATGTGTGATTATGCAATAACGCATTAAATTCAGTGTCCATCGCCTCACGCCATTGTGGATACTTCACCGCTTGAGAAAAACATGTAGGATCCGGATTAGAAGGCTGAGCTACTAGTGCCACATGATCCCCGGCAGCCACCCCCATACTGCGCAAGGACATAGAGTGCGACCGAGGGAGGTGTTACCGACGCTGCCGACGCCGAACTGGAGCTGCCGTGGTCATTGTGGCTGTCACTGCCGCACTGGATGGAGCAGCAACATGCAAAGGCACTGCCTGCCTTGAGCCAGACGTGACACCAACCTCCTGCGCTGCACGGGGGGCTGCCAACATGCGACCTACAGCAGGTAGTGACGGCAGACAAGAAGCAACACGCACAGGGACCATAGACCACGGATCAGATGCAACTCCAGAGTGCAAAACCTGCGGAGCAGAGGCAGAAACAAAAGGGAACACGGATTCATCAAATGTCACGTGTCGGCAAACAAAAACTTTATTACTGGCAAGATTCATGCAACGATAACCACGAAAAGAATCAGGATACCCCAAAAACACACAGGGAGCCGACCATACTCAAGCTTATTTTTATTATACGGACGGAGTAATGGAAAACAAAGACAACCGAAGACTCTCAGAAAAGAATATGAGGGAGGAGAGCGATATAGTAAATGATACAGACTCGAATTCCCCAGAACAGAGCGATATAGTAAATAAGATAGACTGCAGCCTCAAAAGCATATTCCCAAAAACGAATAGGAACAGAAGCATGAGCCATCAAAGGAAGGTCGATTTCAACGACATGACGATGTTTTCGCTCCACCTGGCCGTTTTGCTCGTGCGTAAAGGCACAGGATTGACGATGAACAATACCAAGGTTAGTGAGAGTAGTGTGCAATTTTTTATATTCTCCCCCTAAATCGGACTGAACACACTTAATTTTGCAGGAAAAGGACCGCTCAACCATAAGACGAAATCGAGCAAAAATATCATACAAATCCGTTTTTGCACGCGTAGGAAACAACAAAGTAAATCGAGAGATGTCATCAACAAATAACACAAAATATCGATATCCATTAACAGATGTAATAGGCGCGGGGCCCCATATATCGGTATAAATCAAATCAAATACATGACTACTCGACGAACTAACACGAGGCAAGGGAAACCGAGAGGACTTCCTAAGCTGACAAGATAAACACAAAGACGAACTAATGCTTTTAACATAAGAACTAACAGGATAAGACTTCAACACTTGGCCCAAGACGCGATGTTGAGGATGCCCAAGACGCTTGTGCCAAACCAAAGGAGACTCCCGAGACGCAAATAACGCAGCAGACGTGGAAAGCAACATTGGCCACGTATAGAGACCACCGGAGGTGCGACCTTCATACAGGACCGCCTTGGTTGAAGGATCCTTCACAAAGAAAATATCAGGATGAAATTCGAAAAAGATCTTATTATCAGTGGCAAACTTACGAACAGACAATAATGTCACAGAAAGAGAATGAACATGTAAGACATTAAATAGATTAAACGAACGAGACTTAGTGGTTAACGAAGCATGACCAAGACCAGAAATAGGCAAACCTGCACCATTTCCAACATGGAGAGTGTCCGGGCCAGTATACTCAGCCATAGAGGACATCACCGAGGCATCTAGAGTGGCGTGATCCGTAGCATCGATGTCGGGGAACCAATCATGAGGACCCGCTGAATCAGCATCACCAGCCTGAAAAGCCATATGAGCCTGAGGAGCCGGATCCTGAGCATAACGCTGAAAGCACGTATGGGCGGTGTGCCCTTAGGCATGGCACAACTGACACCGCGGAACATAAGAGTGGCCACCACCACCGCGATTCTGACTATGACCATGACCATGCTGCCCACGGCCACCCCGACTATTTCGGCCACCAGACCTGCCGCCACGCTGCACAACCATCACCGCGGGACCAGAGGACCCCCCAACAGCACCATCGTTAGCACAAATAAACTCGTGCGCAACCAGAAAATCTGCGAGCTCAGTAAGGGAGACCGACTCACCTGTCGTCAGAGTCGCCGCAAGAGGTCGATACTCCGAGCGCAACCCGCGAAAAACATACAAATTCTGGTCATCCAATGAAACATGGTGACCGGCCAAGGCCAAGTCATCGACTATGACCAGCGCACGACCAAGGTAGTCGGCTACTGACTTAGTCCCTTGCTGAAGACTCTGCAGCTGTCCAAGTAAACGGAGAATACGTGCGCGAGTGGTCGACCCAAGAGCACGTTCAATCGCCAGCCAAACCTGTCGGGACGTCGACCGACCCACCGCATGATGCATAACCTCTTCCGAGAGAGAGGAGATTAGCATCGAAAGGACTGCTTGGTCTTGCTGCAACCACGCCGCACGAGCAACAGATGGGTCGGGGCCAGCAGACTCGACGACAGTAGCATCAGGAGAAACAGCAATGACGGGGGCGACAGAAGGACAAGGATACGTGCCATCAACAAAGCCAAGCAAACCCTCACCATTGAGAAAAGGCACCAACTGAGTCCGCCAGAACAAATAGTTGCGGGACGTGAGCTTCACCGAAACAAAATGGTGAGTAGCGGAAAGCGAAAGATTTGCCGTAGGAGCCGTCACGCCTGGAACCGAGATGGTTCGTTCGGAAGAGACGGCGGCGTTACTGGCTTGCTGATCCATCGGGAGAAAAAATAATAAAGAACCCAAGTCTCTTGATACCAGATGAATGTAGTTGTATATTGATAATAATAACCAGATGATAACACAAAGGATATATACAGCAAGGAAGTAAGACTAGAGACCTAGTCTAACACACACAAGAATAGAATTCTAGTCTACCGTAAATACAAGTCCTAACAAAATCAAGTCAACCAACACAATAATGCTAAACCCTAGAATTTTAGCCAATCATCATTAAGACCAAGATCAAGCAATTGCAAAATAGGCAAAACAAGATCTAAGAAATAAAGAGTAAAGAATAGATTTCACCCAAATGCAAGCTAGATATCTTCAATGACATGTGGGTGATGAAGATCCAAGCTACAAAGGATTCCAAATCTTCAAATCTTCTTGCAAATCAAATGGAATTTGGCTAAAACCTAGAAAGAGAAAATGTAAACTACTCTAGATCTAAAATCTCTCTCAAATTGGTGGAACTCCCTAGCAAATGAACCAGATTTTTCCTTAAATATTTAGGGTAGCTCGTTCGGCCTCCCATTTACGCATAGCTTCACGCCGTGACGCGTGCGTAAATGCGCTATAATTCTCCTTAGGCGCGCGTTCCTCCTAGCTGTTGTCTGATCATCCTTCGGCTTGTCACATCATCCCTTACACCATAAAGTGGGCGTAAATGGGAAATAATCCCGTTGCTTCTCCTCTCGTGTATAGCTGTGGTGGGAACGGTGCATCAGAGGTGCTCTTTTCCTTAGCTTCGATCTTTTTACCTTCTTTTGCCACTTTGTAACACCCCCGATTTTTGGCATAATTGAAAATATTTTAAGCTTAAGAAATATGATAAAGTCTAACATTAATATCGAAATAATGCGTAAGCTAAACATAATAGTTGGGGATGTTATGCCACATCTAAGCTAAGAACTTAGATGCACAGGCTATTAATAAACTAATCATAATCCATAAATAACATCGGTTCAACATAATGGCTCACATGCCATCAAAAATAAAGGCTAACACGAACTAAGTCTAGGAACCACAGCTCCATCTAGCACTCTCTCGTATCAACTAGACTGTACCTGAAAAATATATGGTGTAGCAACCGTTAGCAAAAATTTCTTAGTAACCCACTCAAACGCGTTGAGTACAATATATATATATATATATATATATATATATATATATATATATATATATATATATATATATATATATATATATATATATATATATATTATAAGAAAATCAGTTGAGACTTGGGAATACATAAGTATAATCTTAACAACTCTAGCTTTAAAATCAGAACATTGACTCATTGGAGGATACACTCATCAACCCAATCAAACTTATGATATACCAATAGAATTGACACGATAAGACAATGATAGGAGACAAGAATAACAAACCGTAAACCAAGTTACACGTTCCAAGTTCCAACCTTATACCACATTCCAACCTTTACTCCACTCCATCCTTATAACAATTCCAACCTTTACCTCCGAGACCACCCTGTACACCAGTCCAACCTTATCCCTCCGGAGCCATGCTCCCCGCCTGCTTTTCCGCAGTTTTTCCGCCAGCTTTTCATAACATAATCATAATAGCACATGCAGCGCCGTATCATAAGCGCACGCAGTGCAATATACCGCCAATCATTTTGAGCACGCAGCTCATTACCGCCAATCTCCTTACATTTATCATACATAGACATCAATATAACATTCAAGGCTCAACAATAGTCTATTCAAGGATAATCAAGGCAAAGTACAACATATGTACAAGCATACGACGATAAGTGAAACCTTTATAATCATAAGACTCATAAGGACATCATAGACTTTACTTTAATCCAACGAATTACAAGGTTGGACCAAGTACATCAATCAAAACTCGCAAATCCTATTACGGTAATTAGGATGTCGTTCTAGACTTATGGGACATCAAGGAAGACATTCACGTACACGCAGATCGACCAACAGAGGCCAACAAATCACCACACGTCACGTACCAGCGGGTGGAACCGCGGGTGGACGACCAACCGTTGCCGCCCCCCCCCCCCCCACCGGATGCACACCACTGTTCCAGCGGGTGGTACGTCGGGTGGACGACCACCCGCCAGCCACCCGCCGGTACCTCTGCTGAGGCGAAATTTCCCACTTCGGGAATTTACCAAGAATACAAAATTTCAAGTCCAAACACACCAAAACTCAAATCAACAATAATAGGGACTTGAATATATGGAATAGCTCAAAGAATAGTATTAACAAACCCTAAACACAAGCTCTATCAAGGCATAATCACAATATAACACATTCAATCATTCAAGGATGCCAATAAATCATAATATAGAAAAGAAAATAGGTTTTGTAAGACACGGGTTACCTTCTTAGCCTATTCAAACCTCTCACAACTCTTAAGATCCTCCTTGAAGGTCCTCTTCCAAGTGATCTTCATTAAACCAACAAGAACCCACCAAACAAAAGGGAAAACTTAGATATAATCTATAACACCGTAACATAGAACCATAAACTTCTATTACTTACATTTCCTCATCTTGGTGACAGGGAAAGGTCTAAACTTGGTAGCCTTCAATGGTGGAAAAGATGAAGAACTCTTTGGTTAGGTTTTGGGGAGAGGAATTTTGGATGAGAGGTAGGGATGTAGGGCTAAGTTTGATTCTCGTTTGTGTTAAGTGTGGGAGTAGGGATTTTAGGTTATAACTTTGGTAACTAGGCATAAAACTGATTTGATCACAAGTGGGCCCTTTTATCCATTTAGAAGGCTAATAGGCTTTATTTTAGATAAAAGGTATTGGGTCCAAAATTAATCAATCAAGGTCCCACCCAGTGACCATATTAATTAATTAAGGGATTTGGGTCAAACTTGGTTCCCTTAACTATATTTAATGGAATCTATCCAATGAATGGTGCGGTAAATAAGAATTAATTAAACAATTAATTCGGGTTTTAAAGGATAAATTTCTGGGGTGTCACACCCTCTCCCCATAACAAGAATCTTCGTCCTCGAAGCTTAGATGCAATGAGGTCTAGGTAGAACAAATAGCTTGAAGCGTAGGTTGTGCGACAAGCATCAAAAGTGGCTTGACAAATAAGAGATTTGCTTGCAGGAAGTTTTCATCGAGTTAAACCAACTAAAACCAAACACCGGACTAACCAACTTACTCAACTTAACTCTAAACATAGCATAGGACTAAAAGCATCTAGTTACAGAACAACATCACACTTATAATTTCCTAACAAGTTCAAGGCTAGGATTACTTAAACTAGGAGATATACTAAGGTTCGAAACAAGATTACCTTAGTTCCCAACTCCAGAGCTAGTTGCATCCGACGATCTGTCCTCATCATACCTGCCTTCAAATGCCGACATCCCCCGATCCAACGCATCAACCTTGGCGTCCAGCGTTGAGAAGCCTTGCTCCATGATTATATTTTGTCTTTGGAGTTGTGCTAAAATACAGCCATCGGTTGTATGCAGGTCATTCCCGGCTTTAGACCTTCTCTCCTCCCAAGCAGCACCCTTGTCACTAGCACTGTCATTGTTTCCCACGTTTACTCCTTCTTCTTCATCCTCTTCCACTGCTTGCTTCAACTTCTTATTCGGGATGCCAAGTTGCTCCATCAACGACTTCTTCTCGGTCACAGGCTTCTCGTTCACCTCCTCGATGGTGATGTACTCCCCATCACCTATATGATAGATGTTGATGCGACAAAGGTTTTGCGCATTGAAGATCATTCCACCCACGGGTTTAACCACAGTCTGGCTCACATCTATCGTTACTTCACCAAAATCCAACTCAAGATCATACCATAGGGCAAACTCTGCCTATGGTTGGAGATATAGAAATCCATATGCTTCAACATGAGGGCGGGCAAGTTAAACTTAACCTTGTGCTTAAGGAAATAGGCAAATGTGCATTCCAAGCTCCCAATAAACTGTCCGATACAAGCATCACCAAAATTGGCAGTCAACCACTTCTTACTTGGCCTCGTGGCCATGGAGAATCCATCCTCTCTACCCAACAGGTAGCTCAAGTAATCCTTGTACCCCAGGGCCTGAGTCCCAATCCAGGCCTTACGGTTGTACTCCGATACACCGTTATGGGTCTACTTTAGGAGTTTGGCCAAGCGGGCTTCACTCAAAGTCACTTTCACTCCTCGAACCTCGGAGGTGATTTCCAATTTATCCCCATTCTTGGTGACTACCATGTGATGATAAAATTGTTTCACCAACTCGGGGTAGGTATCACATTTAATATCCAAAAACACCCCTAACAAGCCTTGGTACCGAAGCATCTCAATCACCTCCCTAGAAAATTGATCGGGTTCAAGGGCTTTACCTTTTAAGGATAGGTAATGATCATTATTCCATTCTACCCTCCTTGTATTAGCGAGTCTTCTTGGCATTGTAGAAATTGTTCAAAGGAGTTGGGAGTGAAGCTGTAACACCCCCGATTTTTGGCATATTTTAAAACAATTAAAGCTTACGAAATAAGGACAATTATATCATTAATACCAAATTAGAGTGGAACCTAAACATAATAGTTTGGGGTGCTATGCCACATCTAAGCTTGAGAACCTAGATGCACAGGCTACTAACTAACTATTCATAATTCATAACAATATCCAAATACAGAAGTGGCTCATAGGCCATCAACTAAAGCTAACTACTATCTAAACTAGGAACCGTAACTCCGACTAGCGCTCACGAGCCAACTAACCTGTACCTGAAAAACATGCGGTGTAGCAACCGTTAGCGAATAATGCTAAGTAACCCACTCCCACCCGTTGAGTACAATAAGTATAGATATAGGAAAACCATTTTGAGACTTGGGAAAACATAAATATAATCCTAACAACTCTAGCTTTAAAATCAGGATCATGACTCAACAAGGACACACACAACAGTATAATCAGACTCGAGACATAACATTGATGTTGACACCATAAGACCACATCAAGATACAAGCATGCAAACCATGACCACAA